AATTCCCCAGCCAACATGCTGACTGGGGAATTCTGGGAGTTGAAGTCTGCACATCTTCAAGCTGCCAAGGTTGAGAAACACTAATCTGGAATAATAGAGAGTATTCTGGGAGCTAAAGGGGATGGACAATCTTATCTTGAGTAAACAGGTGTTTTTTAGAGCTATGGAAAACCTGTCATGAATCTGAAAGATCATTCTATTTTATGAGTAAAATGGCTGTTTCAAGCATGAGGCTCTCCTGAGGACTCCACAATGTCCACTTCAAACCCTAAATAGGATCTTCAAATTTGAGGAAGTTTAAGGTCAAATCATTAGGGAACTGCACATCCCTAATGTTTTTTGAGTGACTGTGTTGAGAGCCAGCTCATGAGTAGGCTCATGAGTAGGCAATCTTCTTCTCATGGCAGCTATTTTGTGGAAAGGCCTGCATAATATCAACATTTCCATCACTAGCTCAAATGTTTGTAAAATAAATATATTGTTTATATCCTACTTACTTTCTGATAGCATGAATGGAATTCCCAAAGGATCTTTAATCAAAGTGACTAAGCCAGTTTAGATTCAACCATGTTACAGGTAGTCCATGGGTTAAGAACTCCCGGTTTACAGACGATCCATAGTTAAGAACAGAGCCTTTTGTAGCAAAATTCGAGTAAAATACACAACGATTTGAGTTAAATACAGAATGGATTGAGTTAATTACACAATACTACTTATACAGTATTATACAAGAATACTGTTCTGGCTTAAATACAAATTCGACTTAAGGACAGACCTTGGGAACAGAACTTGTTCTTAAATGAGGGACTACATGTACAGCCTTCAGACCTTGCTGTGATTTTAAAAAAAAAATTGAATTGAGTTTCCTATAAAAATAATAATGCATTTTTATAAAGAATTGATTTAAATGCACCTTAGGGAGTGTTTCTTCATACCAGAAATGGAACGGGCTTGATTAGTACACAATCAAAAGATTAAAAATGCCTGTCTTAAAACACATTGTCAAACTCACATCATTTGGATTTCAGTTGTTTTCATAATTTACCCAAACTTGCATCATGGCAATGTAGCCAGGCAAATAACAAAGTGCAAAGCTAACCAGAACTGGGCTAGTGAAGAAGGTTAATTTAATCTACATCTGAGAAGCCAAATTTAAACCTTAGTTTCTAATAAGTTCACATAATAGTTTGCTGGCCCCAAACAAGCCGTAGTTAGTTGTCATATGTAGCTTCAAGCTTGCAATTAAATTCAATCCAACTATGCAAACCATGACATGGTTAGACCATAGTACATAAACCCACTTTCTTAACATGTGTCCAGGAAGAGCTAGAGGAGGAAAATGAATTGATCCAATGCTCCATTTACTCTTTAACCTCCCCTTCCCATATTCTGCCCATTCTGAAGTTATTGTTTTACTTGGCCTTAAAAATATAGTCAAAGAATAAAGAATTACAAAAATATATGGAGCATGTAACTTTACTGTCAGATGTTAGGACAACAGAAAATTACCTGTTGAAAGACCAGATATCTAGAAGTTGTTGGGAGGCGCCTAGACTGACTGACTGACTGACTGACTGACTGACTGACTGACTGACTGACTGACTGACTGACTGACTGAATGAATGAATGAAATGCAGTAGTGAGGTATGGCTGTAGCTTCAATTACATGTTAAATAATTAGAAAAATGTATAGTATACAAATCAAGTAGATGTTCTCTCTTGCTATGCTACTTGATATTTGTGACTACACAATAAATGTTTGCTAGAATCTCTGTCCTTGCGCTGTGAGATTAAGGTCAACTCCACCATGAACAGACTGAGAGCCCTTATCCATTCCAACTCATTCAGATCTTTCACCCTCATCCTTACCCTTTAAGCACTGGTAGGTAGATGCAAAGTAAAAAGGAGAAAGATTGTGCTTCTGGAGAAATCTCACTTTTGCATAAGTCTTTCTAGGACTTGCATTAAAAAAAAAACAGTTAACCATATAGTTGCATTACACAGTTGACAATGGGATGGGGAAGGAAAATAGGTTAGCCCCAAACTAACCCTCTCTAAATTAATTGTGGGGAGTAAAGTGACTGGGCTGGAATTTTCACATATCCCAAACCAGATCTGTGTGTCTTGCAAACAAGGCCATTGTTTGTTATTTTATTAGTTTATGTGTACAGTCATAGACCAAAAATGGAGTTAAGATACATAACTCTCATTGTTTTTCCAAAGAGAGACATTGACAACTGTAAACTGAACTGTCACTGTCCTACCACCTCAAACCTTTACAATTTTATTCCCATCTTGCATATCCACAAATTAAATCTCCTAGGTGGATACTTTTTTAATGGGATGTTATTCCCATTAAGGGAAATCTACAAAGCAAGCCTACATTCCCTTAAAGAATAATAATTAAAATGTTATTTCACAGCTTATTGTAGTCTCAGAGCAGTTTATTATAATAACCTATAACCAAAATTAATAACATATTAAAATAACAGTTGAAAAATCAGTTTTAAGTCAATCTTAAAAGCTATTTAGGGATAAAGGTGTCTTTGAAACCTTTTTGACTGCTAGCAAGGTGGTCACATCTCTCACTTTGATGCGGAGTGAATGCTAGAGAAAGGGATGAATATAGAAAAGACTGCAGCTGTCTCAAGAAAGGGTTCTATATTGGACAGCCAGCATTTGATTCATCCCTTGGAGGTGAATGCCTGGTATTCCCTGTCCTAACATATAGCTATAAGAATAAAGTTATATATAAAGTTATATAAGAAAAGGCCACGGAAGGAATTATAGTAGGGTGGATGATATATGTGGATGTGCAACATATTTTGAGTTCTAAGCATCTCAAATTTGAACCACCCTGCTTTGAGTTCAGATCTCCCCATTTTGAGGTTCAAAAGTTTTGTCTTCAACTCTAAACAGGGCGTTTGAGGTGGTTCACTGTTTTGTTCACATTTATTTATATTCCATTCAACTTTTTACTAGTTATGCTCTGCACAGTTCTAACCTTTTTTTGATGCTATTGTTACTCTTTCCACTTCAGGTTACAGTAACAGATGGAGGGGTCTCTCCCAAGCAGTCTACAGTATGGCTCGTGGTCCAGGTTCTGGATGAAAATGATAACAAGCCTCAGTTCCCAGAGAAAGTCTATCAGATCAAGTTGCCAGAGAGGGACCGAAAGAAGAGAGGGGAGCCCATATACCGAGCCTTTGCCTTTGACAAGGATGAAGGCCCCAATGCTGAGATTTCCTATAGCATTGTGGATGGAAATGAAGATGGCAAGTTCTTCATTGACCCAAAGACTGGAATGGTTTCTTCACGAAAGCAGTTCACTGCAGGGAGCTATGATATCTTAACTGTAAGCATTCATTACTCAAATAAGCCCATGCTTTACTTCCCTGTTTTAAGAGCAGTTTTATTGTTTTTAAGTTGCTTTATATAAGTTCATTCAGTCAGAAAGCTTCCTCAAGCATTTCATGAGGGAAGGCATCTGCTCACAGTTCACAACAAATGGATTAAAAATGGGTCCTCCAACTTCTCAAAAGTAAATATAGGGTGTTGTTTGTTTGTCCTTGCTTCCTCCCTCTCTCCTTCTTCCCTCCTTCCTCCCTCCCTCCCTCCCTCTCTCCCCTCTCCTTCTTTCCCTCCCTCTCTCCCCTCTCCTTCTTTCCCTCCCTCCCTGCCTTCCTCTTTCCCTACTTCTTTTCTTCTTCCTTCCTTCCTCCCTCCCTTCCTCCCTCTCCCTTCCTTCCTTCCTCCTGCCTTCCCGTCCTCTTTTCCCTCCCTCCCTCCTTCCGTCCTCCTTCCTTCCTTCCTTCCTTCCTTCCTTCCTTCCTTCCTTCCTTGCTTGCTTGCTTGCTTGCTTGCATGGAAATATCATTCCCAACTTCACTCTTGTAAGGAATGTGGGGATTTCTGAAAATATTCTTGGCTATGCCAGTACAGCTTTCCATTATGCAACTTTTTCATAGATGTTTAATTTTTAAGAAATCTGTATTAAAAATGCGTGGTATGGAAATGAAACTCCATTGGGTAGCAATGGGAATAACTGTAATCACAGCTAAGCATATGAGATGGTCGAGGGCTTTTCTGTCTTCTCTTTACATTTTAAGTACCCTATATCTCAAAAGTGGCATGTAGCGCTTCATTGAGAAATACTTCCCAAGTCACCCATGTGACCGTCATTGCACAAAACAGTTCCTGGAATGGCCGTATTTGTTCTTGAGTAGTCTTAAATTGAAAGCTTCATGCTTGGGCATCCCTTCCTGGATGTAGGAATGTAGCCATATCATGTGATCATATGACCATTCAAGGGAGGACAGGTGGGAAGAAGAAATCTTGAGGATGAGCATAGTGCAATTCTAAGCATGTGGTACATTTAAAAGTAACAAGAATAAGAGAATTGGCCACTGTGTACATTTATAAGTGATTCCACCACCACTCATTTACTCTTTTTTTTTTTTTTTCCTTTTCTTTTCTTTCTTGGAGAACACAAAGCCAGACTTTGTTTGTGGAAAGTATTTGGCTGCCATGAATTCTGCTTGAAGCAGATTGCCAAAATTTGCTCCCAGTAGAATCCATGGCCAAATTCTTGGACGTGCTTTGTATGGACTTGGCAAAAATAAGGAGCAGCAATCTCCAGTGGAGTAGGCTTGCCACTCTGCTGCATCCCAAGCAATAGGGAACCTTGAAGCACACTCAGAAGTACTAGTTCTATCTTTATTGTAAGGCTACATTAACAGAATCTTGCAAGTCTGAAAGGACATTTCTCCCCCCTCACCTTTACAGTCCAAGAAACTAGGGAGAGCCCCTCCTGAGATGTTTGCCATGCCCCCATTCCTTCTGCAGACTCAGGTGCCTCTTATCTGACCATTGTCTAGTCTTCAGCTCTTCCACCTGTCTCCCAAGGTCATTCCCACATACCATTACAGAGCCACGTAATTATGAATGCATGAGTTATTGTGAATGGATGAAGAAATTATTAACTACAGAGGTTTCTGCTGTAATAAATATATATGTCTTCAAGAAGAAGATTCTTAATTGCTGTCACCATTGTTTACATATTTGAAGCTTCCTTAGTTACTGAGTTGCTTAGTGCCACGACTGGAAAGTCTGTGTAACTTCCCTCCCTTTGTCCTGACTTGGAGTTAGGAAGACTCCTTTGTTCTTTGGTTCAAGGTTGATTATATTAATATATGAATCCAACTCATTTCTTGTGAGTCAGGCATCTTTCTATTTCAGTTCCTTTTGATTGGAAACCCAAGGATTGGTTATACAGCTTGTATAGATGCAACAGTGGGCAAATTATCTGACTTTACTCAGTAGGTGCTTCCTTTCCTATGAATAAGGCAGCTGAAAGTCTTGGGTTGCTTGAATCAGATAGCACACATTTTCATTAGCAACAGCTTTCTTGCCTGAACCCTCAAATTAAGAACTGGATTTTCAACTAAGTTGAATTCAGGTATCTCCATTCAAATCAAATGTATGTAAGACTCCGTATTGTCTGACTCTTACTGAATATAAAAATACTTGGCAGGGTGGCCTATACATGAAAGATTAATTGGAATCCGCCTTCTTTGTTATTGGAAGGAATTCATAGGGCTTGGAAAAGATTCAATGGAGGAGGAACTTAATTGGATGGCAAACAGTGAAGGGTTGAGTGGGCACAGGTATCTGGTGGTGTGCCACGCAGGTTGATAGCATGCTTCCTTTGGCACATCTGATTTAAAAGCCATAACAGTGGTTGCATGGTGGCAGCAAATTACAGTATAAGCAGGTGGCTTTTCACAACTCACTCTGCAGCGAATAAACTTTGCTTCTTGGGAACTAGTTTAATGGAAAGCAACAGACTGTTTGCACAAAGTGCTTAACCATGTCTGATGAATACAGGTAGTCCCCAGGTTAAGAATGCCCAGGTTACAGATGACCCATAGTGAAGAACAGAGCCTATTGTAGCAAAGTTTGAGTTAAATACACAATGGTTCAAGTTCATTACACAAGGCTACTTATGCAGTATTATACAATAATACTGTTCTGGCTTACATACAAATTTGACTTAAGGACAGACCTTGGGAACGGAACTCATTCTTAAACTGGGGACTACCTGTACTTAGTTGCTGTTTCACACAACATGTGAAGTGTGACAGGTGTTGACCTTGATTAGGGTTTTCAGGGGTTTTTCCCTAAACTAGTGAATTGTGTAAACCTGGCCTATTTATGAGTTTAAGGTTGAGTATGCTATATGAACCCCCAAAATGGGTTATTTCAAACTTAAACGTGATGTAAAGAAGTTTAGTGCAGATCTGTCCTCCAGCCTTGATTCCCATAAAGATTCAACCTTTAAACAAGTTTTTGGTTTAAAATTCAGTGTCTTCCAGCTCCATTTTATTCAGACTTTGTGGTGGGATAGAAGGCTTGTTAATGAGAATAATACCAACAAAGGAAAGAAAACAAAGTTTGGGCACCCCCCAGATCTTTATCATTGGTTGGGCTTAGTCTCAAGTTTTAAAATGTAATAATGTAAATACATCTGAAGGGCAATGTGTTGTGCAGAAGTGTTTTGCAATCCTATCCCTGTCCCCCCTTCAGCAGACAAATAAAAAAACCCAAACTAGTGGTATTTGATTAGGTTTAAATACCAACTCTATCTACCAAAATTATTTACCCTGGGAGTCCTGATTCTACACACTTTGGGACCTCATCCACATTTGTTACCCATTGTGGTCCTCGTTTCTTCCAAAAACATTTTAAAAAGAAATTCTGTATCCCCTCTTTCGCTACCCACTGGTCATCCATCCTCCTGCTTTAAATATTTTAACCAAAAATACAAAATATTACGCTTACAGTGTAATGCAGAAAAACACCACTCATCTCATGATTCTAGGAATTCAAAACCAGGGACTATTTTGAAAGCAAAACAGTGGTGAAAGCTTTGCACAAAGCAGTGTGCTAAAGTGTCCTGTGTTCTCTCTCTCCTCTGTATAACAGATCAAAGCAGTTGACAATGGCCGGCCCCAGAAATCTTCTACTGCACGCCTCCACATTGAATGGATTAAGAAACCACCACCATCACTCATCCCTTTGACTTTTGATGAACCCTTCTATAACTTCACCATCATGGAAAGTGACCGAGTGACAGAAATTGTTGGCGTGGTCTCTGTGCAACCTGCTAACATCCCCTTGTGGTTTGACATAGTTGGTATGTTGGACCCATATGCAATCTTGCCAAGAGAAGAAAGGAGTGTTGTGTAGATTTGGGTTAGAGAAAACTAACAAAGGATTAACTCTCTGGCATTGAAACTGCTGTAACAGTGCTGTACTGAATGTGGCTAATTTAATATAACTACTTTTTCATGCTTTGGTTTTGATGCCTTAGCTAAGCTATATGGCTGGATTGTTTCTTTCTCTTCCATAATATGTGATCGACTTGCTAATGTTGTCTGTCATTTAAATTCTCTGGCCATAATTTGCTAATCTCATTTCTAAATGTATTTTGATGGCGACTTAAACCAGCTGTCCCTCATTTCTCTCTCTCTCTCTCTCTCTTTCTCTTTTCTCCTGGTGCTTTTTATTTCCTTTTGCATTCTGTTACCTTGGTTGTTTTCTTTTTTCTGCTTCCGACTGCTCTGCTTGAAGGTGGCAAGCATGCTCGAGAGATGTTCTATATCCTACAGACAGCTTGTGGGCAGAACTGCTCAACCGAAGGTACCTTCAGTGCAAACACATTTGCTACAGTTTTATCAACTGCCTTTCTGGGTGGTCTTTTTAATTTATAAAAAGAGATCTGTGAAGTCAACTGCATTTGTATCTTTCTAGCTTTCCAGGAGACATCACATGGACTTTGAGCATCCATTTATCAGCAGTGTGCATACTTGTGCCTAATTTCAATCTTCCTTTGTGATCGTCAGTGCTTTATCCACCAGAATAGCTTTCAAATTATTTGGAATGCCCAGAAACGTTGCCAATTTGGAAATATTATGCTCTATGTGATGTTAATCTTTGCAGTCTGCACAGAAATTACATGATTCAAGATCCAGCAATTAGAATGTTACCTAATCCAGTACAGGTGGATTATATCATACCACTTCTGCAAGTTGGCTCCCAGTGCTGGCTTTGACCTTCAGAGCTCTAACTTGCCTTACTCAGTTTGGTGTCCTCCAAAAGTATTAGAACTGCAACCATAAGAATTCCATGTTGAGAAGGCCGTGCTGACCAGAAATTCAGGAAGTTGCAGTTCCAAAATTGATGGAAAGTGACCAACTGGGAAAACTGAATAGTCTCTCAGGACCTTCTGCCTTCTCAGTGTATTCTGTTTGTTGAAGCCTCTTCATCTGGTTTGAGGTCTAAAAAATTATGAGTGGCAAGGCAAGACAGGACCTTTTCTCCTCTTCAAGAGAGTTTGTCTTGCTTCTTCCTTACTAGTTTTGAGTTGCCAAACAAAGGTAGGAGTTTTTCTGGAGGGCATTTGGATTACTCTAATTAGCTTCCCTTCTAAGTTAGTATTCCTTTTTGCTGATAATGAGTATACAGTGCTTCATTTTGAAAGTTTTATGAGACATGTAATTATTTTAGTATGTCTTATTAGCCATCTCAGAGATAATTGGTTGATAGGCAATTTATATTTATATTATTTATATTTACATACACACACCCTAAATAATAGTGTGCATCTGTCAGCAAATTGTATTACAGGTCGAATTGAATTAAATCTTTTATATGAACAGAATTCCTTTGGCTGCCTGGAATTCAGCTTAAATAAATTCTGTCAGCCCCAATGATCAAGAAAGTTTCTTTTAACAGTGAAAATGAAAACCACAGGGTGGGTTTTTTAAACAAAGGAGGAAAATGATGGGAGAGGAATCACACTGTATGCCAGATTGGCAGGTGTGTTACAGATGATGGAGGCTGCCAATCGGAAAGATTTGTACACCCATGAATCTTTCTTACTGCTTTGTGTCTCAGCAAGCACTCAAATGCGCTGAGAACAGCAGCAGATAATTGTTAAATTGTCTCCTCTTGAATGGATGCTGCATCAGAGAACCAAGCAGGTGTATGTCTGCTTTCTATCTACTGAATGCAAAACCAGCCAAGATGAGAGAAGAATTCCAGATCAGAGAACAGCAATCAGTAGCTTGTATAGATATTTTTTTTCTATAATGTTTTGCAGTCAATCTCTACGTGAACCATAGCTCAGGAGCCGAGCATCTTCAGCGTAGAATGTCCTAGATTGAATCTCTGCACCCCCCTCTCCGTTGGTCATATTAGCCATAGATGCTGAGAGTTTTGGTTTAGCAACACATAGAGGTCCATGGATTCCCTATTCTAGCTTTAAATCTTCAGTTTTAGGTCCCAAATAATATGGTCAGACAGTTTTCTGGGGTCAGTATGAGTCATTTCTTAAAACAGCTTTACTGGCTATTGATATGTGTCTAGGAATGATTCATTTAGATCTATAAAGCCATATCAGGACTTCAGATCAGACTAGTCAGTGCACACCAGGCCTTTCCTCAACAGCAGATGTGTCTACATAGACCAGCTTCTGCAGCTATTTTGTTGCATGATTTGGAAACAACTGTGCACTGCTGTTGCACCATACTGTTGTTAATGATGTGTCTACATTTGCCTAGCAGTGTCTCAAAAGTTTTCATCTACAAAACAGGCCTCTATTTTTCTAACTTATGCTCAGGAATCTTGAGATCGATTGGTTGGTTGGTTGGTTGGTTGGTTGGTTGGTTGGTTGGTTGGTTGGTTGGTTGGTTGATTTGCTTTTTAAAAATTTCTCTTGGTGGACCTTCTGAGCTGACATTGTTGGAAGTAGCAGAGAGTAGGCTACTATAATAGTACTGTTTTCTCCTGCACATCCCTCTGAGTTCCTCACATTGTCCAGTCTGAAAAAAAATGAAAGATATTTTCCCTTGGGATTTGATGGAAGGGAGGCTTTCAAAATGAAAGATGATTTCACAGTGAAAGAGTCTATTCATACATACATACACACACAAACACACACACACCTCTTGATCTTTTCTAAACTCAGTAAGTGTAAGAATACCACATTACTCCCATGAGAATTTCTCTGCAGTTCCCTTTTCCTTTAAAGGAAATGTTGAAAGCAAATTCTCTTTCAACAAATTGAATAAGAAATTGTAGAATAAAAAGCACGAGATTTTTTTCTCCACAGTACTAGTAGGTCATACTGTGCAAACCTCATACATCAGGATCTTCTGGAGAGAACAAACCACAGAGTATTTCCCTGGCATGTTTTCAGTTTGCTTATGGCACCCTATTCAACTATCAAATATTTGCACTTATCCCATATGCTAGTAAAATAATATTCAAGATTTTGTAATTCAGACTTCAGCAATGCACAGGACAAGAATTGCCAGATGTACAAGCTGGATTCAGAAGAGGCAGAGGAACCCAAGATCACCTTGTTAACTTCCAATAGATGATGGAAAAAGCAATGGAGTTCTACAAGGATATATATCTTTATTTTATTGATCATACTAAGGCTTTTGACTCCATAAACCACAATAAATTGTGGATAGTTATTAAAGTGATGGGTGTATCAGGTGATCACATCCACCTATTGCAGAATTTGTATGATGATCAGGAAGCAACAAGATAGAATATGGAGCATTTAAATGGTTTAAAATGAAGAAAGGAGTATGCCAAAGTTATATACTATCACTTTATGTATTTAATTTAGATGCACAACATCTAAAGGACTAGAAGAAATAGAAACTGGTTTTTAAAATTGCTGGAAGAAACATTAATAACCTCAAATATGCTGTTGATATCATTTTGACTGCTAGAATCAAGGAAGACTTAAGAAATCTCTTGTTGAAGGTGAAAGAAGAGACATAAGGCAGCTCATTTTTTAAAAAACATCTAAGATTATGTTAACAAGCAATGCCAACCTAATGCAAATAGATTGTCAGGCCTAGTCCAAAGAACTCCTGGAGACCATGCAGGTTCAATCAGCAAGGTTTATTAGCCAGCGCCTGTTTACAGAAATCTTCTCAGACTGCCCAGCAGTTCCCAGGCACAAGTCTCTACTATCTTCTGGAATGTTTAGAGATGCGGCAGCTT